TATTATACATTATATATGTGTATAGATTATTGCTATTTAGAAATAGGTTTTTAAACTTATTTTTTCTTTAAACATAGAACAGTAAATAAAGTAAAGTAAACAAGTTATCTCTTCTTGTTACGACCTTTGTACTCGGTTGCTGCTTGACGTAGGTTGCTAAGCCTTTTAAAATTTTGCACGTGGAGGATATGAAACATAATATTTTTTACGTTTATATACATATATATATACATATTAATAACTATAAAATCATAAATTACTACATTAATACCATAGAATTCAGCTATAATTTATCAAGCTTAGTAACTAAGATGTTTTTTAATCTAAAAACATATGAAATTTCAAGCATACTAAAGACACACCCTACCTTGTTGAAATAGTGGTTCAAAAGAAAGAAATGGCATCCTAAAAAATTTAAAATGGCTGAGAAAGCCACTAGGGGAATATTCTGAGCTTCTGATTGGTTATTCATGTCACATATAGAAGGAACGTTATATAAGGTAGCATTTCCAAAAATGGAATGAGGTGGGCAGGGTGCCACTGTGTTTGATTTATTACATGAGCAATATCTTAGCAAATAGAAAAGATAAGAGGCACTTATTATTATATATTCTAGCTTGTCAATATCAGTAATTCGAGTTTCTAATTTGTACAAAACTATAGACTTGGTATTTTGATTTCAAAAACATCTAATTTGAACCAGTGCTGCATTCAACATACCAAGTGACACATAAAAATCAATGTTTATCTGTGTTTATTTAATATTTGCTTTTAAATTAAGAAATTAAGTACTATATAGCACTAAAATTTGAATTAAAATCTACAGTTTGATTACAAAGTTATTGACATAAATTCATGAAATAGTAGTTCAATAAAATTTTGAATGCGAGTCAACAAACAAGATGATATGGACTGTCACCTGTGACCCGCCTCGAAAGGGTTAATGTTTCCATATTTAATTTGAAACATTATGCTATAAAAATACTATGAAAATTGATAAGTTATAATGTAGTGAATCATACACCACATAGTTTCTATATAATACTAAGAACATTATGTTGTCCAAATTTTATGCTTTCATTTAATTTGAATAATTTTTCTAGTCTTATTTTCCTAATTTTGTTATTTAATATATATATATATATATATA